CGGTCATCGGCCCGCGAATGTTGTCCCTGACCACGGCGAATGACGAAACGTAGGTACATATTCGTTCATAATTAACACGTCGCTTATAGTATTTTGATTTCAGCGGTCATTTGACGTTTTGACAAGTTTTTGCCCCGGGGATCTTGGAAATTGTTGCGGGTAAAAAACAATCATTTGGCAAGATCATTATTTTGATGAAGGTTGGAGCATACAATTATCTTCCTCTTGAAAATGGATACTTGTAACTTGCAAGCGACTGAATGCATAATAATAGCTTTTAAATTTTCTGATGTAAAATATCAAGAACGGTTGTTTGCACAAAAAATCACTTAATAAAGTTGAGCTGTAAAGTGGAAAAAATGTTATTTGGGTTCCATGTTTGTATCTTATCTGTATTATATTATTACTGATAGATTAAAAAATATGTGTATTACTGTCTATCCTTAAAGAAATAATTTAAATAGTTTAATACACAACAAACATGAATCGCACAATTCAGCTAGTTCCAATTTTAGATATCTCTAAAACCAGTCGAATTTATTTTTATGGGTTTTTTGCCATTGCTTTACAATTAGATAACAAGCGTGTCTTATGTCACAACTCGTGAATTTTTCTTTCGCACAATTACATATATCATAATTAATTTTTGCATTTCTAATATATACAGCTTTAGATAAAAGTATTAACTATTATTACACATTTATAATAAGAATAGTAATTTAATAAATCCTGACTATTGCCATTTTAAACTTGAAAATTGAGTCCCCTCTCTATTTAAAATGTTTTGTAGACTTCTATTTTTACTTATAACATAAACAATAAAACGGAATTCTCGTTTCTTTCTCAAGCAATAAAATAAAAGGAACATTACATGTATGAGTCCCCAAGTGATATTTCAAGTCAAAAGCAAACACTTAAATCGCCCAAATGCGATGAGGGCTTCTGAAAAATAGGGTGAATGAACAGCAATAAGGTGCTTTACCTTACCGATAACCCCCATTCATGTAGATAACCGAGTTCAATAGCCCCCCCTAGAAATGTTTTGCTCTAATTTGTCGAGCGTTCCCCTCGCCAAACGATTTCTCTATCATTTCAAGTGTCATAATTTGCAAGTACGCAGTTACTAAATTCGTCGTTGTGAGTAGAAACACCTCACAGTACTACTAACACAAATGTGTGTGTAAGCTTCAGTATAAGTTTTTAAATTTATAGACTCCTTAAGACGAAAAAGGATTTAAATTTTTTTTAGTCTTTCTTTTGCCACATCTATTATATCTATTTTTATAAATACAGATAAAGATGATAATACAGATATAAATACTGAAATGAAGTAACGTTCTTTCACGTTAGCAAAGAGATGTTTTTTTTGTATATTAATGTTGGTCTAATGGTAGCAATGTAGGGTTGATAATCAGCAGTTCATGGGTTAGATCTCCACCGTGTCCACCACGTTTCTAATCGATTTATAATTTTACTGAAACATTCAGACTTCGTCTGGCAATCTGGATATTAAATGGGTGGTAGGAATGTCAAATTCTGTAAGAGTCACAAACTAATCGAGTTTCAGTTTCAGTCTGTGGATTTCCGAATGTCCAAAATAGTTCATCTGGTGTAGATGTCATTTGGCCGTTATATTATAAATATACCATGACTGGTATTAACATCATTAAGTATTAATTTAAACGGATACGGTTGTCCAACAAATTGTATAACAAGTAACTTCCCAGCTACTACATACATATTATTAATCTTACAGTGGGATCGAGTTGTAAAGTATCATGATCGTTAAGTCGAGTGGTGTGCACGTATCTAATTAAATACTTCACATTTTTCGCAGCCGAGCACGCGGTAGTGAACGATAAGTCTTTAGGAAACACGGCTTCAGACTTCACGCGATACACATTAGGGTTCCTACGTCTGATACTAGGTCCTACAATAAACTCAAGCTCTGCTGCCCTCGTAGGACGTGGGTCGAACATATTTCTGTGACAGTTTCACTGTTGCAGGCAGTGGATCTGACTTCTGTGCCCTCTCCGACCAAAAAAAGTTATCATTTCCACAATCAAATTCAGAACTTCTCATAATTAAAGCAAACACCTGTAAATTATTGGGTCTACAGCAAATCGTACAATAAATTCTGATTAATTATCAGATAAGTCATATTGATGTGTCACGCCATAACTTAAAGATGACTAAGTACTTACTAACTTATTGTTTACATTGAAAAAAAATTGTATCCTATCCTATTCCTCATTGTTTTTTCCAGATACCTTACTATTAAAGATACTCTGATAGTCATCTAACTAGTTGTGTAATTATCTTTTAACAAAGGTTATAACATTTATACACATCAAAAACTCGTAAATATATTCTATTAAAACAGACTTCAAACGAAACGATAAATCATCTTAAACAAATATTCGAATCTGTGGTACATTACGAACCATAGATAAAACAAGAATTAATATGTATAGTAAAGTAATTCACACTCTATCAAATGGCATTCCGTGGCGCGATAGTTGATAGTGAACTCTTAATTACGCGTTCAGGTCATTGACCCGCGTAAAAAAACCTGGCCTCGCAACCACGTGGCGTGTAGACGGTTTGTTTATGTTTGGCATGGTAATGGACTTTGTGGGAATATTTGATTTTTATTCTATGCTCACCACAGATCATACTAATTAGGGCCATATTGGGTGTCTCTTTCGCAATTCTTTTAGGCACAGATTATAATAGATTATCGTTCCAAAATATTATATTTGTATCAATGTTAATATTCTTTTTTATACATATATTGCTTTTTTAGGAATAGAGTATTTCTTTTTCTTCTTTCTGTTAGGAAGTAGTTTCTTAAGTTTTAACATCCTGTGGGAATACAATTGGTTAGGAATCTTTTTCCTGATTGGGATCCTTTTTAAACTTTCTAGAAGTTTGTACATTTATTTTTAGGTTATGTAAAATAATTTAAATCGCTATGTTAGTACGTTAAAAATTAAATAAGTCTACTTATTCATAATAAAGTAAGGCACATAAGCTATATGAAATCCAGACTATAATTCGAGTGGAAAACGTTTTACTCTTTAACACATAGTATGTTAAAACGATATAGATAAATATAGCAACAACGGGAACCAGACACTTGGCGCGGGAGCATAGTATTCCTTTAGGAGCGTGCGGGTTCGATGCCCGACACGTCCACGTGGCGAGACCAACACCCTCCGCAAAAAACTGGGAAGTGATACGAGGTACGAGAGCCTAATGAACTCACTTTACGTAATATGGTATTGTTTTCGACATTCGCTTCTATTACACGTCTAGTACGTACATATTTGTTTCTTTGTCATGCTTTTACCTTTTAAACGAATTTAGTAACATCAATAATAGTTTGGATGCCTCTTTCGCTAAATGATTGATGTCTGTAGCTTACGCGAGTAGTACACATTTAAATAAAACACTTTTAATGGCTTAAAACATGTTAATTAACTTATTTTAAGCATCTTATTTAAACATCCGAGACGTCAAGTCGTAGTTTAATTAAATTAAAAATAAGTTAACAATAATAAACAACTTCGTAATATGCAGTCTTTAAGTTAAAAAAACCGCCACGCGAGTTACGAATCCATTATTTGTCTCGCAAGGACATCTAAACTACGGAATCAGTCAGTTACTAGTTGTTAAATAGATTTTTTTATTGTTGATGTTTTTGGTGGGATTCTTACGTGATAAATATGTAATGTGACGTTATAAATTAAATGACTCTGTAGTCGATACGACGCAACAGACAGACCGCAGATTCAGCTAAAACATTCCCTTGTTAATAACAAGGAAATTCTTACACAATTTGTGCTAGATTCTTTCTAAAGAGGCATTCTTAAGTTTATCACGTTTTATTATAGACAGATGTGCTCTTATGAAACGTCAAACAACCACAGAGTGCATATTTGTTTTATCTGTAGATTAAGCAACAGTTTTATTTAATCAGAACTGAGTTTTTTTTAAAATAAACTGGATATTTTATATTACCCCCTTTTATTTATAATTGACATAAGATTGTCATGTGGTGTGTTTTATAAATAATAAAGCAATAATGAATAAAAAAATAAATAATAAATATTTATTATTTATTATAGATTGTCGACGATTAATATTGATAAAAGGCACTATTAAATTTAAAAATTTAATTGCATAGAAAAGGTAATACAGGGTCTGCAACTGACTATATTGTAATGTTCTCTTATTATACCTAGGGTCCGATATAAAATAAAGACGATAATTATATTGCCAAACTAATATATAAAAATGGTACAGTTATTTATCACTTACAAACTATTATGCGTATGTATTTGTTACAAAAAAGCTATTCTTGCTCATTAAATTAAAAGTTTTCTTATATAACAAAACGTTTTCGTACGTTCTATGCCTTAGTTTTAGAGTACTAGGAATACATGAATAAGAAAGGGTGGCTATTTTCCACAAATTTTACTTGGGTGATGTAATGTTTTGCAGCAGAAGTAGGAACGATAAACCTGAATGACAATGCGACACAACGAAAGTACTTTTACTATGCGCCCGCGTGACCGGCATAACGCATCGTACATAGATCACCTTGAGGATAGAATTTGCGAAACTAACAAACAGACAATGCTAGATTTCTCTATGGATAAGGACATTCACCCTTTGTTATATAAACAGTCGTTTGTACGAGCAGCAAATGGAACCAAATATAAACAAAACAACAACGACGTAATTACTTTATTTCTTTACTAAATATCACTTATAACATTATAATTAACATATATCATTATATAAGATAACTAAATTTGAATAAAAATATTTTATGGGAAGTATTGTGACTGAAATAAAAAAAAATGTAAAGGGGCAAAGATTGCACCTTGTGAAACACCCCAACAGTGCTTGCATTCATAGAACTAAAATGAAAGAAGAGTGGTTAATTAATCTGTGGGAAATTAACCTGTGGCTATACATTAGCAGTTGGCACGATGCCTGCGGGCGGACGCGTCGCCTTAGTCCACTGCACCATTGACCTGCCTCGTAGGGTAACTATGATCTAGTGCCCTAGACCACCTCACCTCAAAAAACTTGTAGAAAATTTCGATAAGAACAATCTTTTAAAATGCGTATTCTAATCCTTTAGTATTAATTATAATCTGTTAAATGCGCAATGGCGAAGCTGAATAAGAGATTAAATGTGACAACTATAATTGTGTCCTGAATTATTGGTTAAATTTTCGCTCATAATATACCAAACGTATCTTCAAACTAAAGAGTTTTAATCAATAATAAATGCTGTACAATATTTGAAACAACTCTTTGGAACACCAACTCTCTGAATATCTTAAAACTATAACCAAACATACTGTTACACGCCCTTTTAACATAAATACAAATACAAAATACTTTCACCATAAACCATAAATGTTCCAAGAATCATGCGCACCTACGCGTCTCTAGGCAAGGTTGCAAGAAAGTGCATAGCATAGAAAATCATTGTCGAACGTGCTGGGCTTTCTAAGCTTTCATTCGCAGCCCGAACTTCGCGATAGGCCTTCGCAATGAGCTGACCGAGAAACATCATCATCTACTTATCTAATGACATAACCTCGATTGATGTTTGAAAGGATTAAATTGAATCTAAACAAACTCATTGTGTTATTGACAAAGTTGAAACAGATGCTAATGTTAAGAATAATAGTAAGTATAGTAAAGCCAAAGGAAGGGTTTTTTATGGTTGCATTATGTTCAATATATTTCGATGGTTAATTGGTGTTCATAATAATTAAACTATTTTGTTTAACTATACTAGTATCTTAAATGGAATATGATAGAGATGGTATTCTTTATGATGAACTATAATTTCTACTTTAAAAATCGAAAAGGTTACACACAACGAACTCAGGAGTTGTAGAATGCCAAAAATTGCTCTTACACTTCAGTTCTTAAAATTTTAGCATACCGTAATCGAAATGATGATAATGAAAATGGAGAAAGTGTCTCGTTTTTGAAGGTGTGAACATGTCAGTATGGTTACATTATTAAGCAGTGCTAATTTAAAAATCATTATGACAAGTAGTTGAAGCACTATAACAATAATATAGCTATGCTACAGGATGAAAGGAGATGGAGGGCTGTCAAGAACTTCTGTGAGGAGGTATTTGCTTTTAAAGAAAGTGATGAGCGGGCCCGAGAACTAGATCCTTTGGCCTCTGAAGTAAGAAGAAGAGAACGACCTCGGCTTGTTTTGCGTGACAGATTGGTCTCACACTACTCAGTTTGAAGGGCAAAAAAGTCGGTCCCACGATAGCAATGCGGCAGGGCGCATCTAAAATGAAGGTTTGGGACAACTTCACAACCGTTACAAACCTTAATTTAACTGCGCACAATGACGAGCCCTTGAGGTTTTAGTGGGTGTGAGTCCCACACTCCCAACACAACCACAAGTCCTTAAGTGCAGAATGCATTTCCCCAAGTAAAAAAAAAAAACACTATAACAATAATATGGGTACAAAGTTTGTACCTTGTTGTGCACACAAAAGTGAAGGCAGTGAAGAAAGCGTTTCGAAAATGCATTTTTCTTACAAAGGAAGATAATTAAGGGCATAGCACACTGTGTCAGAATACATAGAAAAGGTTTTAATTAGTTTATGTAAGAACAAACGGACGCGGTTGTCGTGTCGCGCATAGAAAGGATTTGTCGTGGGAAACAGGATATAGTGCATCGTTCTCGTTCGTCAATCCCTAGTAGTATAGTATCACTTTTTAGTAGAATAGTGGCTCGGTAGTAGCAAAAACGAATGTGTATCCTCAACAAAAAAAACTTATTTTGTATAATCAAGAAACATTCAAAAAACATAGATAGAATTCGTGGTTTCAAATTGAGATCAATATTGTAAATAAGTCCTTTATTTAACGGTATAAAATGCGATATATTTTAGTTAAACTTATTTGAAAATTATTTTAATTACGGCACGACGTCACAGGGCGAGTGTCTGTAGTTAAAATAATTATCAAATAAGTAATATATATCGAGTTTTATATCATTAAATGCGTAGAACTCGCGCAAACTACAGACTAAATCTTTCTGTTCGTTACAAAACGCGCAACATTTTAATTAAGATATAATCAGTAAGAACAGCAGTGACATTTTAAACAAATAAATCATTTGTTTGCTTAGCATTACCACAAAGTACCAAGTACAAAAGAGAAAGTACCTAGGTTTTACTGAGCACTAAACATAATGGCTCGCACTGAGGTCCGGAATTATAAATAGAATGTGGGACAGGATGCGCTTTCCTACCGCGAACCGAAGATCTACTCACACATAGTCTATGCTATTATGTAGATATTATAAGCTCATTTGACTCATTCTGTCACTATGTGAATCATTGCTTAGTTGCTTAATTGATCTGAACAACAAACAAATAAAAAAGAAAACGTTAAAAAAAAATAAGTATAATAATTAAAGGTAAGTAAAAGTATAATAATAATATATTAAAATCCCGATAAACAACAGTAAGAAGTAAGACAGTAATGGAATCGCTTGAAGGAAATTAAAATGATTAGGTATAAAGACTAAGCGACAAGTGTACCTAATTTGGCTATAAGGATATTTACTTAACTTTTATTTAAAATTTCAGGCCATGTTTATAATATTAAAAAGCAAGTGCAGAAGTACGACATATATAACAAGTCATAAGTAGCATAAAATGTTATAATTAAAAGGAATTAAAAAATTACCGCCCTAACTTCTGACGAAGGAACACAACAGACATTTAAAAAAGGTTATATTAAATACTGCCTGTAGTTTACACGAGTAGTAGGTACACATTTAAATAAAACACTTTAACGGTTTAAAACACGATATACTTTAGTTAAACTTGTTTAAAAAATATTTTTAACTGCGGCTCGACGTTTCGGATGCTTTGCAGCAGCCGTGATCACTCCGTGGAACCGTCTGCTGCGACTTTTCAAACAAATTTAACTGAGCTATATCGCGTTTAAAACCGTTAAAGTGTTTTATTTAAAAGTTATATTGCTTTCCAATGTATAAATATTAAGTTTATAAAAAACTATGATCTACGTTTTTGTTATATAACGATTTGTCATTTTATATTACAAGTATTTCCACATATTTTAGACAGAAATCGAATCCAAATTATGGTGTCAGTAATGTAATCTGTTGCTATTTAATCAAGAGTGTAGGTAACGTACCGCGACACAAGTTCCGTCTAGCTTTCACTTCCGAGTGCATTAGAAAACTGCATTTTCCTCTATACACGTGATTTCTATCTGCTAACTTAACTAAGATATAGTTCTAGAGAAATCCCGTTTCACCCGTGGGGCATGGGGCAAACAAATTACAGATAACAAGATCAGACTTCTGTGCCCTGCCTGGCTGAAACAATCTATTGTCTCTCTTGGATCGAACACAGTGCCTCTCGAGCGAACAAGTTGAACTATTTGACTGCAGAGGCGGTCCAGACATAGTATGAGTCGAGCTATAGATAATATTATATATTAAAAACATATTATTATTATATATTATGTATAGAATTTAAAACATTCACAACAAGAAGACACACGAGTCAAAACCAGCATCAGTAAAATGCCACTAACATTTATTTATTTTGCTCCATTTTATTTGTAAAATCCTTAAAACATTTACGTGGAGAGTTTACGATAGAAGTACAAAGAGACTGAATAACTAGAGTTAGATATATATGTAACTGAACCAATAAAAATATAGGTAATATTCAGAAGAACAAAAAAAAAATCTTTCGAAATCTCCTTATTAGATTACGCCCAATGCACTCTATTTAAGCATATACACTTTGTTTTCTTAATATCGTCTATGCCATAAAGAATAGATTAATAAAATAATTAATTAATCCTTTTCATTGCATCAAAACACTGAATTATAAAAAAAATGTTAAACCTACAACGTAAAGCTGAAACATATAATGACACATCAACAAATACTGATATATTTATATATATATAATAAATAAATAAAGTGTTAATATGATTTTAATTAAAAAAAACATTGTGTGACCGTACACTATCATTAGTTTAACAGAGGAAGTACCTCGGAAGGAAATAAGATAAAGCTAAGTGGCGTCACTTTCTCGAAGTTAAATTTATCTCTAAGTTAACCTTTTACTAGTGTCAGGCAATATTACTTGATTTTCTGGTATTAGTTATTTACGACACACGACATAGTAAAAGTTAGTATGGTGATAGGGGAGGACAGACATACATCGGGTTCCCTTCATGAAAGGTGAATTATCCCAGCACATTTAAACATTAAGACTGAAACCAAAAGAGTCAAATATGTAACAGTTGTATACATATTTGACTAATTTTTTGTCTGATAAAATATCTTTTTCGTGACATAAGAGCAATGTATGACAAATAGCAAGGACTTAAATTAAAAAAAAATGCATTAAAGGTTAAGAATGTTGATTGACATAGGAGAATTCCACCAAGTAAGTCGTTATCACGAGTTCGAGTTCGAATCCCACCTTTCCGAATCTCATAACTTTTGTTTTAATTAAGTTCTATTTTCTAATATACAGAATTATCTGTTTTACTGAACTCAGACAATACTGGCCAGTGTGCCAAAAAGATATATATCCTACTACTATTATAAAGGCGAAAGTTTGTAAGTATGGATGTATGGATGTATGGATGTATGGATGTATGGATGTTTGTTACTCTTTCACGTAAAAACTACTGAATGGATTTGAATGAAACTTTACCACAATATAGCTTATACATCAGAATAACATATAGGCTACAATTTTTGAGGTTTTTAATGTCGGGTCGTAAAAAAACACATTTTTTGCGCTTACATTGCAAACGCTGACTGAATCCTACAAGATAGATCAAAACAATGTACTACAGTATTGTACAACTTAAAAAGGTCTCCAAAAAAGTCCGTGATGGTATATGTTTATCTCTTAGGAATAACCCACAATAACCATTTTTTATCCTTTACTTTGTACGAGAAATAATGGCTTATTTACGAAGCGATTTTAAGCAATACAGTATTAATCCTTATCCAATTAAGTATCTTAAATACATTGTGCATTTATTAAAGATCAATATGGCTTTTTACAGCATGTAAATTAAATAAATATTTTCGAAGATATCACAGATTTAAAATGCAGAGTCATAGGAATTTCGGCGATAAATACCGGCAGCGGTGCCAGGCGAACGGGGCGTGGGGGGAGCGGGGTAGGTGCGGTAGGGAAGAAGTGGCTCATCGCTGAGTGCGCGACCCGAAATCGGGCAGACGCGTGAGGGCAGACGTCGTTGACGGTTGTGTCCGTTTTGCGAATTTTCAAGGCACTAGCGATTTGATAAAAACGTATGGTCGCCTACTTTTAGTTATATAAGCCTAAGGTTGTTATTGCCAGGTTTCTTTTTGGTTAGGAGTTACACGTACAAAAAGATACTTCATTTAATTCAATTACTATATAGATAGGTTAATTAAATAGGCAAGGATTGCATTAAAGTACAATCATAACAATAACTACCGTACTGTATTTTTTGGAAGTATAGAAACAACACGTACTTAAGAATTATGCCGCGAAAGCGTAAGTCTAATCTTTCTGAAGCTCTGATAAAACTCGAAATATGAAAGTAGCTAGACTTAACGAGACGTTTCCACAAGCCGAACTGCGAAGGCTTAAACAAGCAGAGCGTGAGGCAGCTCAAAGAGCTGCTGAGACACCCGAACAGTCTCAATCTCGACGTCAACAGAACGCTGAATATCTGGGATCTCAACAGGCTTCTGAGACACCCGAACAGTCGCAGGATCGACAGCATTCGATAAAACTGCATTTGAGTACGATGAAACTCTTGATTACGAAAGCCACAAGCTTATAAAAATAGAAGCGATGAATAAAGAATGCAGATTTTGCGGTGCTCTTAAATGGAAAGAGGAAGCAGGAGGCATGTGTTGTTCGGGAGGAAAAGTAGTTCTTCCTTCAATAGACGAGCCTGTTGAACCTCTTAAAGAACTTTTTTTTCAAATGAAACAGATGAGTCTCGCCGTTTTTTAAAAAACATAAAAATTTTCTCACGGTCAGCTCTATGTGGCTTGCTCACGTCTTTCCAAAGCGAGGAATCTGCATGTTTATGCTGAAGGAAAAAGATCGTTAAATGTAGTTTATAGGAGCATACTGCAGTAGCGACCTATAGACCTATGATTAGGGCTCTGCAGTGCTTAGTTACCGTATTTCTAACTGATCACTAGACTAGACGGGACGAACC